ATTGCTGTTTCATTTAAAAAAAGTTCTCCGGAAGGACATATCAGGACACATCCGTATAAACACCAAACATCTGAAAACAATAAAGTGCATTTACTGAGCCAGTAAGTGGCACTGTAACGCTGCCTTGGAAATGCACCAAAAGACAGAAGAAGAGTAGAGAGCCTGCGTATAAAGGTGTATTGGCCGGATCTGTGCAGACACCTAAAGATTTGTGTGTGACGTTTAAAGAAAGATGTGGATAGGTGTCTACACAGAGACATAACAGTAGTGGTACACAGATTTATGCACTCTGGGACCAGTTTTCAAAAAATATCATTTACAGTCACCCATAACGTTGTTTCCATATGGATGAAACGCCACTACAACACAAAAATATTTTGCGTTTACTCCTGAATTTGTTTACATGTGGACGGGGCCTAATTAACCTTTGATCAGAGCATTCAGTCTGGTCCTGTCTGGTCTCAGACCTCCAGGGTAGAGGCCTCCTCTAAATGTACAGCAGTTAGAAAACAAACAGGGACCAAAGAGACAAAAGTGCCTGTGAAGTCTGAGCGCTCCCCAGGCTGTTACGTGCCTCATCCAATCACTTTATTCCTCTTTTTCCAGGAAGCTGGCTTGCTCCCGCTCATTTACTGCCAGCTCCAATTAGCTGTGTGTGCAGCCACAGTTTCTCCTGATTACAGAGCCTACACGCTGTAGGTTCAGAAAGATTCAAGGCTGTTTGTTGAGCAGAGAGTGTGAATACACTCAGAGAGAGAGCTGGGCGCACCGCAGTTTTTTAGAGGGAGTGTATTTGCAGCATTCCCGCCTCTTCTCTCCTTCAACACACACACAAGCACATATGACACACTCACACAGGGGATTTGGAGGTTATCAGAGTGTGTTCGTGTGTGTGCATGTATGTGTGTGTGTGTGGCCCCTTTATCTGCACGTTACTCCCTGCAGCAGCAGCAGAACAAAAAACCTTAAAATCAGCTATTTTAGCTGTGTGTGTGTGTGTGTGTGTGTGTGTGTGTGTGTGTGTGTGTGTGTGTGTGTGTGTATGTGTGTGTTCAGAGCATGTGTGTGTCCTACTAATGGCCTTGGCGTTAGTTAATGAAGGCCTCTGTCTAAACATCCCTCTGGGGGTTCTCAATGGACAACATAAACACTGTTTACATAATGAAGAGCTGGAAAGACCCAACCCCCCCATCCTGCACACACACTCATGCACAAAAACACACACACGCAGGCACAAGCACTAACCTCTCCTGACTCTGCAGAGCGGACACACTCACAATTACACACACACACACACTCACAATTACACACACACACACACACACACACACACACAGCAGTCAGCTCAGAGATTAAAACAGAGCAAAGTGCATGACGTTGTAATTAACACACAAACACACACCTACACACACATCCTAAACACATACACACACACACTTCCCCCCCAGTGATTCGGTAGCTGAGTGTTTGTACACAAACGACTGTCTGCTGGTGGGAGGTGGTAATTGAACGCCGCGCCCTTGTCTAAACGCTCCTCGTCTTTCATTACATGAGGCCTCCTGGAGTCCAGCGGACAGCACGGTAAATATTTGCCTTCTATCTGTCTCTGCTCCTCTGCTGCTGACATGAGGGCATTCATTACAACTCCCCCACACACACACACATACATGCACAGACACACACATGCACACACACTCTCACACTCCTCACTCTACCATCCCGTTCTTCTTCTTTTCTTCTCACCAAAACAGATAGGAGCGATGAGACGACAGGACAATCAAAAGTCAGAGAGTAAACAGTCAGAGCAGCTTACACACACACACACACACACACACACACACACACACACACACTCATACAGACACGTTCAGGTTTATTGTGAGTGCAGCAGCTGCAGTAAAATGTAAACTGAATTTATTTCCATCATGAAGACTGTTTTGAGTGTCATATCCCTTTAAAGGTGTCTCTGTATGCGCTGATGATCTTCAGAACTTAACTGACACCATCACAATAAAGAAAAACAGTCCTTATGGAGAAAAAGAGCAGTTAGACTATTTTCAAGTTAACAGTGAGACACATCTTAATCTAAGAGGGAGGACAGGGAGGAGGGCTGGTTCTGGGTTTGACCTCCTCACCTGCTTTTATTTGACCTGTGCATTATCACTCTGTCTATGTCTGTTTATTCAGGGAATGCAGTCAAGGGTTAGGGGTTTATAAACTGGTGTTTCGGTCTCCCACAGACTCCAGCTGAGCCCAGAGAGAGGCTCAGATATGCTAGAAAGGGAAAGAGAGATCACAGAGGAAGAAATACTTCCTGTAACCTGATATCGTGAACAAAACTTACCTGCAGATAACTGGATACACAACAAAGAGTTCACTAGCAATGACCACGCCACAACGATATAAGTTTGAATATTAAATACAAATTCAGGAGTGTGTATATCTTGTCTGATGTGTGTATGTTGTGATGGATAATAACGTTCATGAGAAGTGTCGCATGTCTGGTTGGTCTGGGAGGTTCTGTAGAGGCCCGGCAGTGAGAGACTCAGGCGTAGCTCTGCCCAAGCTTAGTCCGACCCCCAAAGAGTTATAATGAAAGGGAGCTTAATTGAGTGTGGGCCTGATGCAGATTGTGGAGATTATTTCGAATGTAGGAGAGGTATGCCTGAGATGACCATCGTCCGAGGGTTTGAATTGTTCGATCTGATATGCCAAGCCTGGCTGCTGTGGATGCTGCGCCGATGCAGAATGAATGGGCTAAGTAGTGCTCTGATGTTATGTCTGACATGAGGAGGACTTGATGCAGGTGTTTATAGAACTGGAATCATGTAGCCATTTTTTCGTTTTCAGTAAGGAAAAGGGGGTCGTGAGGTGATGCTTGAGCTGCATACCTGGAGCTGGTGTATTTGGTGAGTGGTTCGAATGGACTGAGGTAGGAATTTAAGCGGAGGAGGTAACTGGAAAAGAGATCCCGAGCTGATCTGTTTTGCTTCGTCGGAGCATGAATATGAGAGAATCTGAAGTGTGGTCTGCAATGTCTGATAGTCTGGGTTGATATGATGGATTGACGACGGAAGAGGTCGGAGCGAATTAGGAGCATCTGAGGAAACCGAAGAAGGCAAGCAGGAACATTGATTCTAGTGTAGAATCAACCGTTGGAGATGAGTAGCCTGAACGTAGGGTACGAATGCAGAGGCTGAGTAAGTCGGAGGTGAGTGGTAGGCGCTTAATGGGGATAGTAGGTTCCTGTTTTCTTAAACCCTTGGTTAGCATGGTGATGTGAGAGTGGGAGATGGCGGTGCGTTGAGAGCCGGTGATGAGTTCGAGGAAGAAATTGATGCGAGCAAGGTAGGTTTGAATGGTCCAGGATCGGATATTTTGGATGGTGTGGGTATGAGTTATGAAATTGCAGATGGATACGATGTCCAGAGATGGGAAGGGCAGAGTGGTAGGACTTGAAGCTGTTCCAGCCTGTCAGGTAAGCAGATAGAGTACTGGGAGCAAGACTGTTGAGAATTGCATCTTGTGAGGCATAAGTGAGGTTTATTAGCTGGGAAGTTAATTGAAAGTTGTGGCTGAAAACGGTGGGACTGGTGAGGGATGCGGATCGGACTCTAGGGCCAGATGTCTGAATTTTATTCATGCCCAGAAAGTAAGGCAGTAATGAGAGTCCGTGCAGGGCGAATGAAGGAGACTGAGATCCTGTGTCAAGGTCTTTTAGCTCTAGAGGCTAATTAGAAGCGATCCATCTTTCCCTGTGGTAACCTCTGAAACCTATGGAGGGAGCTGCATCTGTGAACAGCTAAATATCTTCTGGCTGGTTATAAATCATTACGTGTGTCTCGATTTTGCATGCCTTGTTCAAGACCACTCTGCTGTGTAAGGAGGGAACGGCTGCAGTTTTCATCAGGAGATTAGTTAGAAAAGATTTTGCCTGTGGGATGATACAGATGGTGTAGTTGAGGTGGCTAAGGGGGGGCATTAACTGGTGTTTGGTGCATCTAACTTAACTGGTGAGACGAGGTCCTGTGCTAGTCAGCTGACAGGTATTGTTGGGTCGTGTGGGCATGGGCTCCTGACGTGAGCACTTCTGCGGAAAGAGCAGACATGTAGGAGGCAACTGTTTGAGAGGGTGCGGCCGAGGTGGTGAGGTTATTGCACGCTATCCTTCCGTCTTGGTAAAGGATGGGCCTTTCTTTCTTGTCGACCCTTTTTAGCGAACGAGGTGGAGGAACGCTGATGATGCATGCTATGGCTGAGTGGGAGGGGGCTACTCATAACTCGTGGAGAGGGAAGTGCGGGCGGCAGGATTTGTCAATACAGGGCGGAGACGAGTATGCCCTAGTATGTATGGATGTCCAGTGTAGGAGTTGGTAGAGGGCTCTATGGAGAGCTGAGGAACTGGCTATGGTGGGAAGAGAGGGAACGGAAGCCGTATTACTGTATGTGGCTGAAGAAAGGGAAGAGGAGGGGATGTTGGGAAGGAAGGATGTATGTGCACGGGGATGCAGCCTGCGAACACAGGAAAGTGAAGAAGCTACGATAGCTTGGGAGGAGTCAGACACGGTTGAATAGGTAGAGCGGCTGTGGCTCATCTGTAATTATGTACAAGAGATGGAAATACATTTGGGTGTTGGGGAAGGGTGGGGGTGGGAATGGGGAGGGAGGGTTAATAGGATAGATCAGCGGGAAATGGAAGATGTTGAGGGTAGCCAGTGTTATGAACATAGACTGTATATACCATGGACAACTTGGTTCTGCGTTCCGCCAGTGTATGAAATTGGAGCCGAATTGCTCTCTATATTGCCGTGGTTTTTCTCCATATCCTGAAACCAACATCTCGCAATAGCGTTGTACACATTCGGCGGGAGAGTCGCCAAGAGTCACTGTGATGACCCTCGGCTCAAACAGCGTATCCCCCGGGTGAGCTACGGAGGAATTGTGGTGTGAGAATAGCCTTGCTTTGCTGTTGCTGCGGTGAGATGGGATGCCTCTTGTCTTCAGGGATCAACGGAGGCGGGCAACAGTCCGTTGCTGATGTCATCCTCGGGTAGTGAGCGCGGAGTCGGCCGTCTCAGCGAGGCTACGCCGCGGCTAGTTAGATTGCCCGTGGCTGATCGGTGAGAGCGGCGTGGTGGAGAGCAGATTAGGTTGTTAAGATTGTAGCTCCTTTGGTCTACAGATCTTCTTGGTGGGGATGTGGCTGGGGATCTGATGGGAACCGTCGGAATGATGTTTCGGGGAGCACATGGAGCGCGAGCGGCTCCGCAGTGATGCGTGGCTGTGGTTTGATTGCTGCTCTCCGGTGAAGGATAACTGGCTTGGAACGGTTCTTTGTACAGATCCTCATCTGAGTCAAGCAGCTGGAGTTCCATGGTGAGTGGCTGATTATACTTGTTTCTATAAGGCGAGTGAGCGGCAGGGCTCGGCGCACGGTCTGTCTGTGTTCCTCAGAGAATTGCAGACAAACTGAGTGTAGTGGGCTGGCTGTGTATAAATATGCTAGTCAGGTGATTGAAGGTGTGGGGAGGCGTAGTCCTGCTCCTGAACCTTAGTTAATACATTAACTTCATTTCAAATAAGAGGAACATAAGAGCTGGGCCGGTTGGTCTCACCACAGAATGACTGTCCCTGTTAAGCTTCAAAATAAAAGCAAGGGGGGGGGGGTGTTCTCTCTTTAGACAAAAATATGTCAGGCTTTTATTTTGAAAAACATCCCGTAAGTACAATCATTGTGAGTTTTTCCATGTTTGAGGCATAAATATAACTGATGCAGATGAATACAGCCTTAATACAGAACCTGAAAAGACTGAGGTCCTCATCACGGTTCCAGAGGTGACGTCCCCCAGGGTGACTGTGCCAGGACTCCTCTTACTGGCAAACATTCATCTGAAACAATCTGTCAGTTTAATTTTACGACTTTGTTCAAATGTGGGTGACTTTAACAGATATCTCCCTCATAATGAGTGCGAGTGACGCATCAGGCTTTGACAACATGTGGAAACTCTGAGTCTAAAACTTCATCATCATGCTGTAGCTTCCTATAGGCTGAATAAGAGGCACTATGTCACCCTGTAAAACACCACTAACCTCAGACAGCAAGGGCTGACTCCACGTGTGCATTAGAGGATCAGATGAACAGAGTCCTTATTGTGACCATGAGAAGTCTGAAGCCTCAGAGTGATTCATACTGTCAAATATCCACCTTTAAGCTTCTATAAGGTAATGAGGGCAGACATTTTTCCTTTAAACAGTCTGAGCTCAGAGCTCGAAGTTCTCTCTGCAGAGTCCTCCTCTGTCTCCGTCTGTGTAAACCTCCAGGGTCTATGTTTAGAGGCCAGGCCACAATGAGCTGGAGCCGGAGGAGAAAATGAATGGAGGAGCCCAAGGAAGATGAGAGGTTTCCTCAGGCTGGAAAAGCTCAAATGACAGGGTGACAGGACCAAGAAAATCTGTCCCAGACACTCAAAGAGCAGACTGAGATCAGAAGCAGGAGGACCAGAGTTTATCCAGAGAGAGAGAGGGTAAAGATTTAATCATGTCACTGTCTGTGTGGAGACAAGGGAGAGCTTGAGGCAGATATAGTCTACCACAGAAACGTCTACATAATGGTATTTATTCATTTCATTACCTAGAAACTCAGATTTAGATTGAACAGAGAAATACTACTCCACCAGTGTTTCAACTCTGTGAAAATGTTCATGAAGACACAATTTCATGGTTTACAAATCATGAAGAAATTCTACACATCAAAGAGTGAAAAGACAGCACATCAACCAAACAGGTAAAAAGTTCTTGAGGGGGAACAAGCGAACAGGTAAAAAGTTGTAATGTTAAAAAAAGAAAAGAAAAAAAAAGAAACGCTGGAGGAACATCTACAACTAATGAGGTTTATTGTCAACAGGTTAGTCACAAGGGGCGGGAGAAAAAATCGATACAGCATGGTATCGCAATATTTTGTCTGGTGATATATCGTATTGTCTCATTTACCAGGTATCAATTTTTTCAAATTAGTTGCTAATAAGGAGACAAATCTATGATAATGGAAAAATAAAATCAATTATTTGTCCAGTGAGGTTGGCAGAGGTGACACCATAGAGCAGAAAAAAGTTAGTAGAACAAATATATATATATATATATATTTATATATAAGGTTTGCAAGATGTGCTACCTGAAAATAAAATACAGTGTAAATATGACAAACATAAAGGAAAGACAAATGCTAAAATAGCTAAACAGCTGAAAAAACTGTATCAATCACAATACATTGTACTGCAATACTCACTGTATTACAAAATGTACAAAAATAGCAAAAATATTGTATCGTGGCCTAGGTACCGTGATAATATCGTATTGTGGGGCCATGAGTGATTCCCACCCCTATAAGTCACATGACTGGGTATAAAAAAACACTCAGAGAGGCTGAGTCTCTCAGAAGGAAAGACGGGAAGAGGTTCACCCCTCTGTGAGAGACTGTGTAAGCTAATAGTTCAACAGTTTTGGTGTAAAGTTTTAAAATATTGAGTGTGTTTCATCATCAACTCTGGATCTGAGCTCATTCATTCTGTAATATTCAGATATTTTCCTTTCTTAAAATCCAAGTCCAACCCTGACAGCAGAGCAGAGCTGAAGTTCAGAGCTCCTGATTTCTCTCAGATTTCTTCTGTCTCTCAAAAAGTCCCGCAGAGCTGGTTGAAACCAGTTCTGGAGTGAAATGACAGGTCTGACGCAGCTGATTACACCGTTTGGTAGGACACTCCTGTTTCTGGAAGTTGGTCGAAAAATGAGCCGTTATTGTTCAGAGTGTAGGTCCTGGTGTTTGCTCTCACATTAGAGTTTCTGCACAGAGCCGAGGTCGTCTGTGTTCATGTTCTCACGGTCAGACTTCTGAATAAAGACTCAGCCAGACTTTAAACAGCAGCCGGTCCTCCCTCAGGTTCCCAGGTGTGTGTTCCTGCAGGATCGTGTGAGTGCAGGCCTGTCACCAGGTGCTTCTTATTCCTCCTCTGCTGCTTACAAACACTAATTACTGTGGTAAACCATTCCCAGGCTGAGTAAATGCACATTATCAGGACAACTACTGCCTCTGGCTCTGAACCATGGAAAACAACAGCAGGAGGAGAGTTGGGTCCAACAGAGGTGTCAGAAACTACTAAATCTGGGATTGGGCCTTTAACGAGCTCATAATCCAGCAGAGCAGCATGTGAAGTTTCCAGATAGTCAGCAAGAGGATCCAGGAGAAAAATGATGGAATAATCAGTGAGGATAGAGCATGTTTGACATGAGCTGAAGCTTTATAACCAACAGAGACATGAAGATGACCCTGAAATAAACTGATTTCAGTTGTCCTGACTTTGACTCTGATGGAGACTAATAGAGAAACTCTGGCTCTGTTTATGAGCTTTAAGTCCTGAAACAACATAGCAGCACAATCTAATCCTGATGTGAGGGTTATTTTATTTTATGCTAAACAATTAAGAAAAAAAGATGCAAAAAAGGAATAAAACTCACGGACTGAGACCTTATTAACCCTAGAACACTATCGCCGGGTGATTTTCACCGGACCAAACAGGTTTACGTGATTTTCATTATGTTGCGTTTGTCTGAGTACCATGGATCCCTGGGTAGCTTCAGCATTGCCTTTGACATCTTTGAAGGCATTTTTGTTTCCCTGATCCAAAACCTGCTCTTTCCTACAGGCACATGTTAAGGTGATTTTCACCTGGCAATGGTGACAGAGGGTAAGAAGGTTTGGGTGGATTTGATAGCTGCATGTAGGGAATAAGGTCAGAAAGAACGGTCCTGGAATTTACATGCTATCTTTGTTTAGCCCAGTGGTTATGAATTACTATCACAAAGTCGTGATTTTCAAGGGAATTCATATGGTGATGAGAAGTATTTCAGTCAGCTGGTCATTTATTTTCTCACTCAAAATCTGCCATATTTTGGTTCTCCCTACTGCAGCTGTTATTGTGCCAGGACCCTGAGTATTAACCAGGGAAGACTCACATGCCCCAGGAATGGGTGGAAAAGAAATTAAGTTTATAGTTTCTATTTATTTATTTTTCTAGGACTTTTTTGTTTATGAATGCCTAATTTCAGTTATTTTGTTGCATTTTTGTATGGTCCCCTTATGGCACATTTTTCCCCTCCCTTTGGACATTGCAGAGTTAAAAATAAAAGAAAACAACTTTAATTTGTCACGTATTGTCCTCTTGTGATATATTTTGAGGACAGGTGCTTTTTCTTGGGTATATTATTTTGGTGGTGTTGATGGTGTTAATAATTTTAGCGACAGTGTCCTAGGGTTAAATCTGATTTTTCTGCTGGTCTTCACCAGAAAAAGTCACCAGATGAAGACTCAGGCTTTTTACTTTGACGTGACTGTGCAGCCTTATTTTTTCAGGGCATCAGATCTGATGGGGGTTGTTTTTAAATACATTTTCAAGCCACACTGGAGTCTGTAAACAACAAAGACTTATTTACAGTTTGTGCATTTCCACAGACTTAGCGACATCTGTTTCTGTCTGCTTTAAAGTGTGATGTAAAAATGAGCATCTGAGTTTAAAATTGTCTGATCATCTGACCCTTAACACCTGAGAAGTCTTCATCAGATCCAAACAGCTTCTCTTTGTCTGCAGGCAGATGGTGAGGGACGTCCTCTATGACGACCTCAGACTGGATCTCAAACCTCACCCTCACTCACAGCTTGCTGCGGTCAGGAAAAAGGCGATCACTCTCACCGACCTCAACCAGCAGGGTTTAAACAAAAGTCCAGTTTTTATGAGCAGATCTGGATCTCATATTAATAAGAGGACCTGTTTATGTGGGCCAGTCTGACTCTCCTCCTCTAACTCAGTACTGACATGATTCAGAGGAGCCCTGAACTCTGACACATTATTTGGTTGTAAAGAAGAAACACAGTCTGCAGACACAATCTCTCTCTGCTCTGACGCCTCACACGTAACCTTTACTGGGTTACCATGGCAACCTGCTGGCACAGACCCTCTGTAAGTCTGTGGGTGTGTGTGCAGAAAAGTAGGCTCAATGTGCTGAACCCACCCGCCCACAACCACACCAACACCCACACATTTCACTTAGCCAAATCACCCACTACGTCAAATTGATCTCATAAACTCTCCTGCAATTACGCCGCAGTTTGGCGTCTGTGGTAACGAATCATGGCGTGGAATTTATACGTTTTTATAAATGCATAGAGCTGCAAACTGCACAGAGAGAAAAACCCTCTACCACCCTGCAGGAGTCTGCACCTCACTAAGCGCTCCATGTTCACCCCAAAGCTCATAAAGCTGCAGCAGCTACTCCCAGAGACTCAGGCCTCATCCTCTCAGCAGCTCTGCTAACAAACACTAAG